GGACGTTGAACAAGGACGTCGAACAAGAACGTCAAGGTTCATACAAAATAAATTCAGCCAGTGTTAGTGGGGTTACATTAGTTGCTGCATCCCAGGCCCCCAGGTTTTTGATTTCCACGATAGGGCGCAACAGTAACAATTTAGTTGTCGACAGATTTCTAAACAATCATCACCAGTGCTTTTTCATCGTGGATACTGGAGCAACTAGGTCAGTAATGAGAGGCAGCATTTCCAACGCAAATACGTTGAAGAAATTATCAGTAGTACCCGTTCTGGAAACAGCAACTGGAGATAAATTGACAGTCTATGGAAAAGTTGAAGTGAGACTCAGGTTTGAAAATTGCGAAATTGAAACTAAGGTGATAGTGGCCAATATCGTCAACGAATTCATTTTGGGATAACATCATGTGGTGGCCATAAGAAACAAACTCTCGCGAGACCGAGAAAATCATTCAAGTGGAGATTGCTGGACCTGACGGCTTGGGCACAGCATCGATAAAGCTCTCCCTCGTAACAAGTAAGAATGATCAACCCTAATAAAAACAGAGTGACTCTGTGGAAAGGGCAAGTAACATGCACCTGCGAACCGATTCGTAGAAAAATGGAACGATATGTTTGTGAGGGGCAAAATTATTGGTCGAACGGATTTAGTTCTACTTTCGATCGATACAGGCGATGCCAAGCCGATACGCCAACCACCGAGACGACTTTCCTTCGCAAAGCAGGACGAAGCTTCATTCATCGTTAAGGACATGTCGGAGGAAATAGTAATCGAATAATTAAGGAGCCCCTGGTCGGCACCTGTTTTGTTGGTGAATAAGAAAGATGGAGCGACGAGGTCTTTCATAGACTACAGGAGACTTAATGATGTCACCAGAAAGGCAGTTACCCTCTTCCCAGAATAGATGATACCCTGAACATCTTGACGAAAAATGCAAATGGTTCTTAACATTACATCAGAAAAGTGGAAATTGCCAGGTGGCCATTCGCCCCGAGAATAAAGAGAAGACTAACTTTTCCACCGCCAATGGATTATTATCAGTTTCAGTTTATGCCGATCGGATTATGCAAGGCACCAGCAACATTTGTACGCTTGATGGAGTTGGTGATGAGAGGAAAAATGCTTGGTCTATCCTCATGGCATTATAGTGGCCGGAATAACTTTTGACGAACATCTGTCAAATTTGAGGAGTGTTTTCACGAAGCTGCAGAATACTCATTTGCAGATCAATACCAAAAAGTGCTGTCTTTTCCAGGAAAAAGGGAATTTGTTGGGACACGTATCCCCAAAAGGAGTTGAAACAGATCTAGAGAAAATCAAGGCAGTGCAAGAATGGCCAACACCGAAGAGCACGTACAACATAAGAAGTTTTAATCTTCCTCTTTGAAGATGATCACTTGGTGATTGAAACACGTGTCGAGGTGTTAAATATATCGATTTGGTGTTGGGAAAAAACTCCAGTAAAACACCAATAAATTATCTATCTACCTATCTAACGCCGACTGCCGCTGATCTTCATCAATCGACTGTATCTTAGCCAAGGTCGCGCTCAACTCTACTTGTGTTTTTTCGACCATTCTAGGTATCGCGTCGCTTCGAGAATACTCCCATCGGCTTCCGAAGACTTCCATTGGGATATATGAGAACTACTGACATGCAGATGGGGGTAGTCTAGTTGAAAGTGCTGTACGAAGTGATCTAATGAGGCGATAGACATTTAAGTATTAGTCTGAAGTTCAGTTAAAAATGTTGTGTTGTATTTATTGGCAGTGTAGTAGTGAAATAAAAAAATCTGTTTAAAATCTGTTTTTCCGTTAATATGGACTTGTGCGAGCTAAGGACTAACGAGGTCTTACCTTTTAACGTGTGATTCCTAATACATAAATAACAAATAAAGTTGAGTTTAACTGTACAGTGATGACAATTATTGTCGAACCTATGGGGAAACTGTAACAATATATTCAAATATTTAATTGTTGATTATTCACCTGTATTGCTGTCATTTAAAGTTGAATTTCAACAAATATTGTACAACACAGAATCAGTAATTTCATCTGTTAACACTGTAGGGAATTGAAAAAATCAAACCATTTTCAGTAATACTAGTTTTTATTTGAAAAGTCTAGTTCTTGTAACCACTTGTGTGAAGTTTAATCATAGTTTTAGTTCAACACTTTCGTAGTAATGAAAAAATATTCATATAAAATGTATGTTATTCTATAACGAATTAATTAAGTAATTATCGACACATTTGTATTACGTTAAAACTCAATCTAAGAGTTTCACTAGTCTTTCTATGTGTGTATGTGAATTTAGAATTGACAAATACACTGATCACTTTTGTAACATTTCTTTAGTGAATCTTGAGCTACCTAGGAAACAGCTTGCTTTGTTCAACTGGGATATTTCTAAATGACCACAGTATTACGCATATAAAGCTCATATTAGTAATGGTGCATAGGTTGCTCTCGAGTTCAATAGAAGTTGAAAGCAAGAAAAAGCATTATTATAGTCATAGAAAAATAGCCTAGCACCAATTATTTTCAAACGAACTAACCTTTGTTAGTAGTTGCCTACATATTAGCATCGATGATTGTGATGAAAAAAACTTAATATAATAACCAAAATATCAAATATCAACAAATTTTCAGTTTGTCTTTCGAGTCTTACTGGAAATAATATATGTAAAAATTTTAAGAAATTAACATTTGAATGTTTCATTTGTTTGAATTTTTTCTATTTATATACAAATATACCCCAACTTGCAAAAACGATTACAAAAACATCAAATCTATCATAAAATCACACCACACTACTATCGGAAAAATTTATCACTGCCATTGAAACAACCTTATCAACCAACTATTTCCAATATAATTCTTTATTCAACAATTACATGGTTGTATGATAGAAACTCCAATATCCAGTAAAATTGCTCAACTTGTGATAGAAAAATAGAAAAAACTGCATATTAAATTCAAATTTTAACTACTGTTTTACAAAAGATGTGTAGATGATTGCATTATGGCAATCTCTCAATCAAAATTAGATAGAAACCATCATAACATTCAAAATTACAATTCATGTGTGGAAGAGAAATGAATAAAGAAATAAACTTTCTGGATTCTACCTTAATTAAAGAAACATAAGATCTTAAAAAAATGGAATTCTAAACCAACATGGTCAGAACGTTCCTTGAACTACAACATCAAACCATCCTATAGCACATAAAAAAATTGTGGTATGACTGACAGAGCAATACATCTCAGCAGTCCTACCTATAGATAAGAAGCTTTGAATAAAGTAAGGAAGATCCTTTTTTTAAATAACTTTCCCATTCATTCATGAACAAAATAATTAAACAAAAAGTTTATGAACACTATAATCAAGCATAACATACAAAAAATCCCTGGAATCGAAACAATACACTACAATTTCTTATATACAGAACTTATCCGAAAATATAAAACATGAACTTATCAAACCTAGTTATCAGGCAGGGTTTGAACCTACAAACTTAAAAAAGATTAATACTCCTTTTAAAAGCTGAACCCCAAAAATGAAAAGTTATAATCTCATTCAATGATTGTGAAGAAGAATACATAGGCATTACGTCACAGTTATTACGCAATAAACTAAACTGAAATAAATACATGAAAAAATCCAGCACGTCACTTAATAAACACATCATTCAAGAAAACTACAACCAAATTTTGAAAATCCATAATAACTTGCATTCAAATTTAATGAAAACACAAGTTATCAGTTACGAGAAATATCATTTGGATTGAAAAAACAAAAAACTTCATGAATAATAGAACTGATAATAACAACTTTAATCAGGAATATCACACAAAACTATAATTCACTTCTTGCTTTTGAAATTTTCAAAATTAACCCACACTCCCTCCACAGAGCGGTTTCCCATACCTTTTGATACAGAACCAATAAAAAAGTTGTTCCAAACAAATCGCCAGTCATGCTAATTAATTCCTCCTACATATTTCCAGGTTCACTTTCCACATCCAACAGATACAACAACCGCCATTAACAACTTGAGCATTCGAAAGTAAAATAAAGTTTGAAAAATTATTGAATAATTTAACAGACAAAAAACTGAAATGAAACAAAACCAGAAATATTATGTCGATAGAATCTACATGTTATCTCTAAGTTGAATTGAAGAGACGACCAGAAATATTTATATCTGCCACAATGTATTGCTTAGGTAGGTTCCTCAAGGTCATTTCAACAAAATTTGTGACAATATCTCTCTTTCTGAAAACTAAATTGAAAAAATCCTCTGCTGAGGACAAAACGTCTCTATAACCCCTATTGAGTTATTCAAACCTTGAATCCTAAGCACAAAAGACTCTCCTCAAAAAAAAAAAATACCGGCAAGAAGTCATAGACTTTCAAATTCGAACAAAAATAACACCTTTCTTAGTTCTATTTCATCTCTTTCCTAACTTTACTATAGGTTCATGATACTTTGTCATTGAATAATTTTATTGCATTACTATTACTGTTACCTCTTTAACTTATCGTTAAATACAGCAACGTTTCCTGATGTTTGGAAACTTGCCAAAATTTGCCCAATTTTAAAGAACGGGGATGTTTCAAACATATCAAACTACAGAGCAATTTCAATTATCTCAAACTTCGCGANAATGAATAGTTATGCTATCAGTTTTTTCTTTTGTTTTAGTTTTCTTTCTTTTGTTTTCTATTCGATGTTATATATCATTGTTATGTTATATTCATATAGCATGTCAAGAATGAACATGATTTGTTGATTTATTTTATCTATTATCAGTACTGATGTATTTAATTGGGTGTTACCTGTTGGGCAATAAATGATATTATTATTATTACTAGTAAAAGTATTACAATTATTTCATTAACCACTCTTTATATGTCATTTACCTTTTATAAACAGGAATATTTATTAGAATCAATAAATCAATAAAATGTGTAGAATATTGAAACGTTCAAACATTCTTGTTCATTCATTATCATTCCCCAAGAAAGTACCATCTAGATTTCTTGTTTCTTTCAACTTTTGAAGAAAATAAGCAGAACTTACTTGAAATGAGCACATAAGAGTTTCGTCGACGCTCATCATTCCTCCAGCATTATCAAATTCTCCACAATAGTTCGGAGCGGAGAATAGGGTCACAAGTTGTCTCTTAGCAAAAAATTCATATCCGTCTTCTACTACTTGATGGGCCCGGCAAATGAGATCGAGATCATGACGATTCAGAAATTTACTGACAACATCTGCACCGAATGTAAATGACACACCTCGATCATTTTCACCCCAACCTTGAACGTCTTTATCAGGATCTGACCACAAAAGATCACATAGTAAACCTGAAATAATGAGATTGATATAATGAAAATATTTCATTGGAAAGCAATTAAAAAAAAATGATGTCTGCAAACTTCTATGAACACGGTTTTACTACAGAAACCGGTTTTCATTTTGGCTTGAAGCAGTATTGATGCCGATCAAGATTCCCTTGGGAGTATTTTGCATATTTGAACTGTTTTGTTTGTTTGTGAAGTATTCTGTACGTGAATCAAATTATTTCTTCCAATTTATAAGGTATGGCATTTATAATGTATGGCATAGCAGTAAACAGCTGTTTCAATCTTTTTTCATCCTGCAAAAACAGTTGGTGCGGTATCTCTGTGGAGCAAAGTGAAAAGATCCATGCAAGCTACTGTTTATAATGCATGGAATTTTAACTGTGACTCCATTGTTTGTTCTTGAATCAGCATGCCTTATACAAAAGAACAAAGGTACCTTTAGTTCTCAGCCTCACCACAATACTAGACAAGCTTGCCAATTGAAAGTTCCTATCCCAACAAGTAGTCGAATCAAGAACGCAATAGAGTGAAATGTACAACAAGTTACCTAAAAGTTTAACTGAATGTGTCACTCTACTATCTTTTAGGAGAAACTTGAAGGCAATTCTTTTCAAAAAAGCTTACTTCACATTAGATGAATTTTTTGAGGAAATTCAAAAGTATTTATAGTTCACGAACTATAACCAACAAAACCGAACACTGCTTTCTAGGGGTTTTAATTGTTTATAACTTTTAGAATTTTTTATGACCTAATTTACTTTTTTTTCACAATGATTTAGACAATATTCCGGATCGAATGAGCCTAACCACTTAATTTTACAAAAAGTATATCCATTTAACACGAATCTAAACTTAAAGCCCAGACTAATTCATACTAACGTAAGTATTTCTGAATTCGTACTTATATACTAACAAAGTCACCGACAAAGAGAGGACAGCGCTATGTTGCGACATCTCCTGGTCTCACTTTGCACGCAGCAATTAAATCGAAGGCACCTTTGGAATACACGAATGAAAATATACGGGAGGAACAGCGACCTCAAGCGTCCAACCATTGAACTGAAATATATGCGGTGAACGGGTTTTCATACCAAATAAGGTCCAATTTTTGTATTTGCGAAATGACAATATCTTGTGGTGAGACACTTATTAGAACTATTTGATTCACGAAACAAAGTGAGGTCCGTATATTGGTCCTCACTTTGTCGCGGACCTCACTTCAACCGTGATTTTTCAATGGAAGTGGCTCACTTCCTACTCTGGGAGACTATATATATTATAAATTTCAGGTTTGACAACAGGTGATGATCATATGTAAATTTTGTAAATATATGTATATTTTAAGATCTAAGAAAGGAAAATAACACACCAGTAATATCCATTGGATGTATCTTGTCCACAACTGGTTCCTAGAGTTGTTTGTAACTACATATTTTCAGGAACATTCTTGATAAAAATACTTCACAAATATAAACTCCTTGAAGATATTATATTTCTCATATGTCAGATCCAAGCTTGAATACTGCTCAATTATTTGGAGCCCCTACTATTTCTGTCATGAGTACTCAATTGAAAAAGTTCAAAGAAAATTTTTGAAATTCTTGTACTTCAAAAACACTGGAATTTATCCAGCTAGGGGTTCTGACCACTATAGTCTTCTCAATCACTTTCAATTAATTTCTTTAGAAAAAAGGAGATGTGCTTCATTAACCTTTTTGC